TAGTTTCTAGGGTGTTCCTCCCCTTTGCTTGGCATCCTGTCCCTGTGGGTTTTGCCCATTTAAGGACACTCACGTGTATGCATGCATCTTGGGATATGTATGGACTGAGCAGGAAGATGCTTCACTTCAAAATTTTAATAAGGTCACTTAGCTACCCTGACAGTCACACACAAACACACACCTTCCGCTGCCATTTGAATCATCAGAATTCATACTATGATCTCAGTTGCCTACATGTGTAGATTAGACCTGTGCCCTTAGCAGATCAGCACATAGACAGGTGGGAAGGACCACTGCAGAAAGATGCTTTGCATAGGTAAATAACTGTAGGTAACTGATATCAACAGGCTGAGTCATCCATGGCAAAAATATTTATTTACATCCTAAAATACAGCTCTTGTCAGTATGTCAGACTTTACAAAACATAACTGAGAGGCAATTTTCATGACTGTTTTTGAAGTCAATACAGGGTGAAATTTCTCTAATTAATATAAGTGTTGCAGCCCATTCTTAGGAAAAGTACAAAATTCATTCCATTTCTGCAGGTGTTGTACTTTCATCTTGGCCCAAAGAACAGGATGAAGGCCTTATTTGTATTCTCCCCTGTGGTTTTCCTCTTCAAGCCATTATTTCACCACCATCATCATCACTCAACTATTTTTTTCTTGTCCTGTTTTCCATAGAGGATCTTGGCTAACTGTTCCTTATTCCATATTTACAACCTTGAAACTAGTAATCAGTTTCACAGAATTTTACACATATGCATGTGTAAATAGAATGAGCTTGGAACAGTTAATTGCTTTTGTATGAGATTTATTTTGAAGGGGAGATTGTGGTAGGTATCTTTAGACAGAAGTTGGTAGAAAGAAAAGCCTCACAACTTCCATCTGAGGGTGACTATCGTTAGGGCTGGCCTTACCATTACCTAAACTGAAGCAGGTAACCGAGGCAGAAGATTCATAGGGAGAAGATTCAAAACCCAGCATTTTGCTTTCGCTGCACAAACCTGCACTCTGCAATGCATACACTCATCGCATACAGAACCAGTGATGGTCTTGGCTTTCACATTCTGGCCATTCAGTACCTCTCAGTGCCAATTCAGTGTTTGTGACTGGTTTCTTCAGCAAGACCTGGCTGGGGGGGGAGGGCTCTCCCACCGTGCTCTGTCTGCAAGGATGCCTTACAGCCAGGTCTTTCTGCACAGCGCTGGTTCTGTGCAAAGCAGGAGTGTATGGTGGGTGCAGTGACAGTTCTGCTCCTTTTGCAGGGGCAGTGCATTACTTGGTCTGCCTTGGGCAGTAGGAGTCCTTGTTCCATCCCATTTGTGGTTCTGGTTTTCATACAGTGTGAGCTCTAACGCAGAGGTGTAGACCTTGTGACTTTCCAGATGTTCTTGGATAGCGTTTCTATCAGTTTCAGCTGGTATTGCAAATGGTTAATAATAGGTATTGTAGTCAAGCAATATTTGGAAAATCCACCCCCGTTGATTTACTTAAATGTGCAACTTTCTACATCCCAAATGCTTCAGGATAGTGACACTAGATGCAGGTGGGAAATACCTTATTGCCTCTACTAATATACCCCACTTCTCCAGTCCAGTTTTTGAATCTTGCTTGCAGAGATCTCCAGGAAAAAAGAATAGCAGATGGAGCCATGCTATCAAAAATATCTCATTATCTAGCCTTGGTGTAACCAAATGGGAGGTAGTTTCAAGAAGGCACTCTTTCCTGACCTGAGAGAAAGAAATTATGTGTAAGGAAGGAATGGCGTTCTCAGACTCGTTGGAAGCAGACTCTGGAAAATCATAGAGTATTCATAACATGATCAGACTATGAGTTTGCTTTGTGGTTGTTAATTGGAATCAGCAATTCAGCCCCAACATTTTCCATAATTCTGGACTTAGTTAGGGTACAGAGGCATATATGTGCATGCAAATCTGTTGCACTTAGTACACAGGAATCAATTTCATGTTCAACACATCTGATGAATTCTCAGTCACACCCACAGTAAACATTATTTATCATTGGGCAAAGTAGTGTGTGTACATAGACTTCTGTTGCTTCTGTGCTTCTCTGGACTAAGGCCACCAATAATAAGTTTCAGGGAATTTTAGACATAATGCACATATCTCCCATATACAGCTTAATATTATTTGTAAGAGCACTATTCTGGGATATGTTTTAAGCAGAAGTCTTCTTCCCTTCTTTTAGCCTCTGATTCAGTTTTAAATATTAGAAGAAGGAAAATCAGAAGTAGTTTCAGTAATCTGGATAAAGGTAGCCTTTAACAATCTGGTTCCCATGGGTTGTAGAAAATAAGCAGCTGTACGTGATGCTTTATATTTCATGTGTATATTTTGTACCAAACATTCTACAGAATGTGAAGCAGACACTGTCAGAAAAGAGAATGAAAATTACATGAAACAGTCCGGAAATATAAACTATTCAGAAGCCATCTTAATTAGATCTTACAGCTCATATCCATAGAAAAATACCTGTTGACCCCCTTTATTCAGATACACATGTACCATTTTTTTCTCCTCACAACTCTCTCCTTCACCAATCATATCCTGTTGCTGTTCATGGCAAAGTGGCACCCACATCTCCTTACCAACATCTACTGTCTCTCCCTACCCCATCCTGCTGTTATTCTGCCTGCAGATGCTCTTTTTACCCCTTTCTGTTGTGTGTTTTTCAGATCTCTGAACTGGAGGCGAAGCTGCAGACTTTGAAAAATTCGAACCCGACTTAAAAAGAGAGAGAGAACAGGAAAAAAACATATAAACCAACCAGAGCAATTAATTCTTCTTACTACTATTATTATTATTTGCAAGGGACATGTTTAGAATTTTCTCCCATACACGCCCACTCTTGACTCTTTCCCCTGTCCTCTGCCTGATTCCTTTTTTTCCCACCAGGGAAGTAACACCCAAGACAGTCAGAAGAACTACTACAGCAGGGGTAGCTAATGGCTTTCCTCCTGTTGAGCATGGGGGGAAGAGAGAAAAACCTTGAACAATCAGGTGGGGTGGTAAATTCAGAGTGGGCTGCAGAGGCACAACCCAGTCTCTTCTGGAGGGTGATGAGTCGTTGTCGGTTTCTGTGTCCAGTGTGTGTCTTGTGTCAACTGACTGAACAGACTATGGAAGGTGGGGAGGTGAAAGTGCTGGTTCCATGTGTCTGACCATTTGTGTCTTCTGTCACATCTGCCTGATGAGAACCTTGCACAGACCATTATGGATCGGGACTCAGATCTCATGGCACTTCACCTCTACGCGTTGTCTTCTTGGCCTTTCTGTTGTGCAGGTGACAAACTGGAACAGATGAGGACCTCTGCTGACAAGAAGTGATGCCAGTTATTTTCATGTCACTTCCTGAATCTTAATAATTTGGGGTTGGGATAGGGTGGGAGGGACTGTTGTCAGGCTTTGGAAATCAATGACCTTGCCCTTAATTTCCCACCCCACCACCATCCTTTGGACAATTTGGAATCCATTATTCTCTGTTTTGTGCAATGGTGGGAAATATGTCTGTGTTTAAAGGAGGGAGTCAGTGGGAGGTTTTGCTGGCCACCATCTTTAGGACTGAGAAGAGGCAATGGCCTCCACAACCACTGCTAGTTTTTGGAAAGACACTATGGCTGACTTTTACACCAGGAAAGGAATATCCATATTCTTTTTCCTCCTCCATGTATTTTTATTCACAAAGTCTTTGAAGATTTCTGGGAAACAGTAGCCAGAAGGTTTACAAACTGGACCCTTCCAAAGGAGTTGAACATTTAAGTCTAAGATCCAAGAGAAAACACATCAAGTTAACCACAGCAAGGAATTGAAGCCAGAGACTGGGGGTAAACATGGAACTGAACAAGGAAGAAAGACTAATTGAGCAGAGCAAGCCTCTCCACCTACTTGAGCAGACTACAGCATCTTGGTTTTGTGCCAGCAATTTTCCTTTTAACAAAGAACATGTGAAAAGCTCCCTCTCCTCCAAAGGTTTGGTGTGGGTCTGACTTGCAGCTGGCAGAAACAGAGCATAATAAGGAGATGAAGACAGGAAACAGTGAAAGATACTAGCAGAGGCTTGACCCTCAGAAGCAGAGTGCATGATGAATCAGTATCTTGGGTTGTTCTGTTGTAAGGGTTATTGCCTGGTATTTCTTTTTTAGGTGCTCAGCCTTCATTCCAGAACAAAATATCATACAGTACTAGGATGGATGGTCCCTTGTTTTGCCTCACCCCCACTGTATCACACTTCAGGAGGTTAAACTGCACAAGTCTACAGTATTTTAGTTTTGGAACACTGACTTGGCATTTATATTTGGCATGGAATTCCTTCCTGAAACAACACCAGGACATCAGAGCTATCTCTGTAGGTGGCTGCCCAGCCAACCTCTTAACGACTCTTATCACCCTTCCCCTCCTTCCCAGAATAGTTGATATGTTAAGTTGCAGGACCAAATTGGCTGGGGATCGCGCTGCATCTTCTTTCTGGGCCAATAGTTAAACTATGCTCAGTGCTGGCAGTGAATTCCAAAGCTCTTGCTGCCTAAGGTGTAGGAACATTTCAAGCATTCCTTCACCTTCCTTCTGACTTGTTTAATCAAATGGAAGGGAAATTCCATGACTGGTGTTCCCCAGACATACATGTTTATGCATCGTCAGCCAGGGACTGAAATGCTTGAATACTAAATAATTCAGGCTCAAGTCAAACATTATACCCGAAAGAGAGAAACAGAGGCAGGGGCACTAATTTACATTGCCATGGAACATTGTCCTACAAAGGAGGTGTAATCCTTAAAATCCACTCCCTGCATGGCACCAGCTTTAAGGAACATTTCTCTGACAGCACTAGTAATGTGCTAGTACAGGGACTGGGGTTTCCATGGGCAAAGTGTAATGTTGAAATCAGGCTTTAGAGAACAAATTTCCTATAAAATATGAGCAACGTGCAGCTTTCAATTAAAATACATTGGAATGGTTTCTGTCCTTAGAGTTGGCCTGTCTGTCTATCCCTGTTGCCTTCTCAGATGGGGCTGTTCCTTTTAGTCACCACAGTCCATTACTTAGTTCAGAGTCTGTCTTGATTGCTCTGTCATTTGATCCAGGTAACACACAGCTGCAGTAGGATCCTGTATATAGGAGCTTTAAATTTTGTTGATGGGAGTAGACGGGCCTAGACATTCACTGGTCTTCTGTCAGAATTCTCTTCTGAATGCAGCTATTCCAGGTTTGTTTGTTTTTTAAAGCCAGGTACTGTAAATTAAATGCAAATCAGGTGAAACTTCAACCAACCAGGGAGCTATCTATTGCATCATCTACAATATATGTGATGGTTGTTTTGTTTTGTTTTTCCTGGCACTGCTGTTAGCTGTGTACTCAAGCTGGTGTTGAGCATTTTCCAAGAGAAACAAAAGCAAAAGTGTATTTTGTATAATGATTGCTGGAAAAGGCACTTTCCCCCCCCTCAAAAAGAGCCAAACATATGCTATTTCAAAAGCCTGTAAATTATTGTTATTATTAGTATTATTATTATTATTTAAAGCAGTATTGTGTCAAGAGAGGATATACTTTGGGGTTTGATCCCTAAACTGGAATTTGTGACATGAATGGAAATATATATTGCCCTGCTCCCACATAATTTCTGCTATGAAGGTAAAATGGATATTGCCTAAATTCCATTCCTTTTGCCTTTTTCTTGTGGCACTTAATATTGGGTCCTGTTGACTTTTCCTTTGAAAATAAGAAGTGCCTGTTACTGTGATTCTGATAGTAACTAGATGTGAGTTTCAGGGCTTGTATAATATCAATGGATCTGGGGAAGAAATCAATGTAAATACTAGATCATTCCCCGTTTCTTCAGCCCTGACCCCTTGCCATCATAAGGAAATGCAGTGTCCTCAGGACAGAAATCATCCATTTTTCCTTCATAACTTAGCATTCTCTGTTGATTTTATCAGGTTTGGCTGACTGTAATAAGTTGAAAACTATCAAATCATTTTTCATTAATGGCATTGATGCAAAGGGAGCAAACTCAAGCCCTCTTGATGCAGCATACCTCTATGATCTGTTTTGTATCCCTGTAGCAGCCAAATGGTGATAAAACTGTGACCTACTTTACAGGGTCCATGTATGAGTGTCGTGGGGATTCTTATCCACATATCAAGATCTGTGAGCAGGGAGTTTGGATGTGGCAAACATTCTGGGTTCAATAACCCAAAATTAAAATGTGAGATGTTGTGTCTAAGACTTCTATTTATTTTACACCTGGGAGATCTATCTGGAAATGTGTATGTGTGCAAGGAACCAGTTACCATACTCTCCTGCACTGCAGCAGTCAAATTGTAGATGTGGTAACATATGTATCCTGAAACCCACATTGGCAGGGAGAGGGGATAAATATTACACGCACGCGCGCACACACACACACACACACATGCACCTACTCACTTACAGGACGTGAATTACTGTGCTATGGGTTGTTAGCAGAGTTCTCAGAAGGCAACAACATCATTCAGAAAGGCTGAGGTGAGCGTTTGGATCACACTGCTCACTTCCTACAATTTACTGCTGTTATACCCACAGAATACAGAGCTTCCCAGCCATTACCAGCAGCCACAGGGGTAGGAGAAGCTGCAGATAACAATGTGAGAATTTGTTTCCCTCCAGAGGGCCATGAAGTGCGACTTTAAAAGCAAAAAAAGCATGCCCATCTGCACATAACACCATCCCAGGTTACATGAACTGCTGGAGAGCTCAGTGGTTTAGGTATCTGACTGCCAAGCCGGAGGTTGGGATTTCGATTCCCCCACTGGGCCTCCCTGATGGTCTGAACTCAATGATCCATAAGGTCCCTTCCAGCTCTGCGGTTCTGAGATTCTAAGGCTGCAGTGGACGAAATAGCTTTACTATACAGTTGGTGCAAGAGATGTATAGATAAACAGGAACTCGGTGCCAGGTTAGATGATAGAAAAAAGAATTATATGCAGGAGATGATAAGTACTGTTCTGAAAAACAAAAGTGTTTTACAAAGAAATCATCTTAAAGCTTAATTTAATCTCCTTTACACAGATTTAAATGTGTATGTATATAATATATATATATCTCTGTATGTATGTACGTATGTATGTATTGTTCCTGGTTTTGTATTCGAATTGTCCTATCATCCAATCATATCAGATAAACTGCAGGTCTTTGTTTCCACCCTGTTCAGTTATTCAAATATTGCTCTTTTCTACTACAGAGAAGGCACTTGCAAGGATACCCAATGCTGCCATTGTTTAAGGTATTCCATGACCCTTACAGGAGGGCAAGGAGGAAAATTTGTATTCATAGGTAGACAAGATATAATCAATTGGTGGTGATTCCAATATAAAGTCCTCTTCATGGTGATGTTGACCTTCTTTTTTATATAAACAAACTTAGTCATCACCAAAAGTTAGGTAGACCAATGGAAAAGAGGTGTTAAGTGTGCTTATTTTGTTTTAAAGTTCATACACCTTTGTGATTGGTGGACAGTGTCACATGCTGCAATACATCACCGATTTCTTTGGGCAAAGGGATTTTTCCCCCAAGTGTTCACACACACCCTCCCTGTAATAACCTGCTTTTGTGTTGATTTTACTTTCTCATGCGGCAAAGTTGTTATGGGAAGATCAAGACAGATTAAAGAAGCATGAAATGAAAGGGAAAGTGATTCTAGCTGAAGCACCTTAAGAGAAGAATAGACAGCTGCCTTCATGTATTCCAGCATGACACATTTTAAATACTTCTGTTTCAACTCTCTATATGAAGATGACACCATACGAGTAAAGCATTACATATTCAGTCATGAACCAGCCAGGAAACAGTGGCACATGTCTGTTTAGACAAATATCAAGTTCCTTTGATTCTAATTCTTTTGGTAAAGCTTTCTATTGAAATCCCACTGAATTTGGGGTCAATTTTCATGCTACATTAAGCATGTAAATCATATTTTCCCTCTAAAGTGGAAGCATCCATGGACAGACCAGCATTTACACAAAGAGACATTTGAACTTGCCACCTCAATTTATTTAAAAATCTGTTTGTTTTCTAAGCATGGCACCAATGGAAATACTTCCCCCTTTTTCAACCATGTGGGTGAATTTTTGAATTAAAAAAATCAGATAGGGGAAGAGTTTTAAATCTCTACCACCCATCCACTGCAATGTGTGCTGGCTTTAAAATCCACGTGTTTTGTGTGGCTTGCACTCTTCTAGCTGTAAAGATGTCAGCTGAAAGTACCATAGCAATTTACTGAAGTACTAGTATCCTTTTCATAATAGTAAAAAATTAGGAAAACATTTTCTTAACGGCTTTGGCAAGAGTTTGCATGATGCCGTGCCATTCATTATTTGTAAACTATAATTATCAAGTTGCGGCACAAGGATTTCAGACACGAATTCAAACAACATAAAAGCCTTTCACAAGGCACAAAGTTCTACTTTTACTGAGCATGCTGAGCATGGGATTCTGGGATTTGTAGTAAAAAAGCTTATTCAACTTTTGGTACAAGCATGATCATATTCCTTCACATAGTAGCACATAATAGAGATTTCAAGGTAAGTGAGACACCCTGAAGGAAAGAAGTGGGTTGAAATTTGAAATATTTTACCATAATTGCTTACATTTCAAGGTGTGTATTGACTAGCAAGGGGCAAATTCTGTGTGTCTGCTAATTTAAATATTTTGAAATTTCAGTAGGTTTTGATCAAAAGTGAACTTAACTGAGATTCTCATGTGTCTTTCAGTTTTGTTCAAATCTGGCAATTTTGCTTTCCTCCCACATTCAGATGTTTTCAGGTTTTGTCAGGATTTGAGTAATGAATTAAAGTAATATTTTCTTCTAATGTTCACCTCTAATGTTCACCAATCTGATGCCTTGTGCATACTGTTGGCTGTTCAGTGTCAGTGGAGGGTAAGAAATGTATGTCTCTTATATAGGAGACACATTTTTGAGTGGGCCAGAAACCACTGGTATCAGACCCCCTCTATGAAAGAATACAAGTTTTCTGTCTGCCTCACCTCCCACAATTTGGTGTGTGCGTATCAAGATCCTTGGGGTTCAGCTCTGGAATACAGCTGTACCTGTGTACAGACAGAGGATGTGCATATACTTGATAGAGCAGCAGATGCATATCCCTCCAGGAAAAGTTACTCAGAGTATAGGCAAGTAGGTGGGTGAAATCAATCTTGGTATCCGGTGTGGATGAACTGTGCTCTGGGCTTATCCTAATATGAAAACAGATAGAGGCTATTGATCCACTTAAGAGGACAGCAGATTCAGCTGCTGAGTGCCAACTAAGAAAGAATTCAGATGTGAACACAGATAGATAGCCATTAAGTTTCTTGTGCTTATGTGCCATCAAGTCAGAACCGACTTCTAATTACAGTATCTTAATAAGGATTTGAAGGTAAGTGAGATATTTAAGAAGTACTGTAGTTTTACCAGTTTCACACACCCCATGAGCTTCCTTGGCTGAGGAGGCATTTGAACTCAGTCCTGCTAAAACCTAGGCCATCACTATCCACTACACCACACTGGTTATCCCAACAATCAAGTTAACTAGTGGTAAATAATATGGAACCACAATATACATGTTGTGCAGACAGTTGCTCTGAGCCAAAGAATCCAATCAGCTCTGCAGAAATGGACTGTTATATTTAGAGATGGGCATAAACTCCCCTTCACAGATTGCTGCCTTTTCGTGGTGAAGGGGCTTGAGTAATTCAGAGGAGCTAGGGACACCCAAGACAGACAGGTCATAGTGGAGAATTCTGACTAAACGTGATCCACCTGGAGCAAGAACTGGCAAGCCACTTCAGTATCTTTGCCAAGAAAACTCAATGGACAGAAACAAAAGGCTAAAAGATATGATGCTGGAAGATGAGCCCCTCAGGTCAGAAGGCGTCCAACAATTGACTAACGAAGAGTGGAGGAAAAGTACAAGTAGCTCCAGAGCTAATGAAATGGTTGGGCCAAAGCCGAAAGGACACTCAGCTGCAGACATGCCTGGAAGTGAAAGGAAACTCTGATGCTGCAAAGTACTGCATAGGAACCTGAAATGTAAGATCTATGAACATGCTGAAGAGGCTGAAACTGACCAATTTTATGAAGACTTACAACACCTTCTAGAACTGACACTAAAGAAAGATGTTCTTATTATAGGGGACTGGAACGCTAAAGTAGGGAGTCAAGAGATAAAAGGAAAAACAGGTGAGTTTGGCCTTGGAGTACAAAGTGAAGCAGGGCAAAGGCTAATAGAGTTTTGTCAAGAGAACAAGCTGGTCATCACAAACACTCTTTTTCAACAACATAAGAGGTGACTCTACACATGGACATCACCAGATGAGCAATATCGAAATCAGATTGATTATATTCTCTGCAGCCAAAGATGGAGAAGCTCTATACAATCAGCAAAAACAAGACCTGGAGCTGATTGTGGCTCTGATCATCAGCTTCTTATAGCAAAACTCAAGCCTAAACTGAAGAAAGTAGGAAAAACCACGGGGCTAGTCAGATATAATCTAAAGCACATCCCTTACGAGTACACAGTAGAAGTGAAGAACAGATTTCAGGAACTCGATTTGGTGGACAGAGTGCCTGAAAAACTATGGATGGAGGCTCGTAACATTGTACAGGAGGCAGCCACAAAAACCATCCCAAAGAAAAGGAAATGGAAGAAAGCAAAGTGGCTGTCCAACGGGGCCTTACAAATAGCAGAGAAGAAAAGGGAAACAAAATGCAAGGGAGGTAGCAGACTTCCATAGAATAGCAAGGAGAGACAAGAGGGCCTTCTTAAATGAACACTGCAAAGAAATAGAGGAAAATAATAGAAAGGGAAAAACCAGAGATCTGTTCAAGAAAATTGGAGATATTAAAGGAACATTTTGTGCAAAGATGGACATGATAATTGAAAAAAAAATAGTAGCCAGATATCCTGGAGAATGAAGTCAAGTGGGCCTTAGAAAGCATGGCTAACAACAAGGCCAGAGGAGGTGATGGCATTCCAGTGGAACTATTTAAAATCTTAAAAGTTGACACTGTTAAGGTGCTACACTCAATATGCCAGCAAGTTTGGAAAACTCAGCAGCGGCCAGAGGATTGGAAAAGGTCAGTCTACATCCCAATCCCAAAGAAGGGCAGTGCCAAAGAATGCTCCAGCTACCGTACAATTACACTCATTTCACACACTAGCAAGGTTAGGCTCAAAATCCTCCAAGGTA